TTATAAGAGAAATTTTTTCCACAGGTCCCACATGAGAAAGGTTTCTCACCTGTGTGAGTTCTCATGTGAATATTTAAACATCTTTTATAAGAGAAATTTTTTCCACAGGTCCCACATGAGAAAGGTTTCTCACCTGTGTGAGTTCTCATGTGAATATTTAAACATCTTTTATAAGAGAAATTTTTTCCACAGGTCCCACATGAGAAAGGTTTCTCACCTGTGTGAGTTCTTATGTGATCAACTAAGTGAGATTTATACAAGCATTTTCTTCCACATGTGCCACAAGAGAAAGTCTTCTCACCTGTGTGAAATCTCATGTGAGCCGTTAAGCTGTTTTTATAAGTGAAAAGTGTTCCACAGGTCCCACATGAGAAAGGTTTCTGACCTGTGTGAACGCTCATGTGAAAAGTTAAACTTCTTTTATGAGAGAAACTTTTTCCACAGGTCCCACATGAGAAAGGTTTCTCACCTGTGTGAACTCTCATGTGAAAAGTTAAACTTCTTTTATGAGAGAAACTTTTTCCACAGGTCCCACATGAGAAAGGCTTCTCGTCTGTGTGAACTCTCATGTGCCTAATCAAGTAAGGATTCCTCTGGAAACTTTTTCCACAAGTCCCACAAGAGAAAGGCTTCTCACCCGTGTGAATTTTCATGTGATCAAGTAACTGAGATTTAGACACAAAACGTTTTCCACAGGTTGTGCACGTGTAAGGCCTCTCACCCGAGTGAATTCTCATGTGTCTGTTTAAAGTGCCGACTTGATGGAAACTTTTTCCACAAGCTGTACATGTGTACGGTTTTTCCCCTGTATGAATTCTCATGTGATAAATCAAAGTACTCTTGTGAGGGTAATGTTTTCCACAGGTTGAACATGTGAAAGGTTTCTTAGCAGTGTGAGTTGTCATGTGTGTTGTCAAGGAATTATTTCGAGAAAAAGTTTTGTCAGAAATTTTACAAGAATATAGTATATGGTTTGGGTGATGTTTCTTGTGTGGTTTTTGTTTTGAAGTCTCAGTTTTGCCTTTCTGTTTGTTCACCAACATGTCATCAGTCTCCTGTTTCAGCACAGACTGTACTTTATCCTGACTGATGCAGAGTTGCTTCTCTTCCTCTTTGAACTGTTTATGTTCTGGTTCCTCTTGTTCCCGTTTCATCTGCAGAGGTTCTGGTTCCTCTTGGTCCAGTTTCATCTGCAGAGGTTCTGGTTCCTCCTGATGTAAAGTGGAGTTTTCCGGGTTGCTGGGCTCATTCAGAACCTCCTCCTCTTTAGACAAGCTGCATTGTGGGAGATCTGGAAAAAAAAGAAAACAAAAGCTTCAAATTGTGAATCAATGAACCCTTCACTTTCATTAACAAAAGCTAAAATAAAAATAGTCTTCATCGAGCATGTACGCATCAATAAAAATAAAATCTCCGCCATCGTTTGTCTTTCGGAGCAATTTTTATTAACCTCATTTGGATTTTACAATGTCTGCATGTGGTTAATAATTTTACCAGCGATAAAACTGCAGTGGCATCAAGAGTGCCAACATTTGGAAATATGTCGTCTGTCTAGCCGACATTAACCCCTCTTAAAGATTTTCTTCTTGCAAACTGGGACGTTGCACCATATTCTGTGACCACTGCACATTGTGACTGCAGGAGGCGCTGTTGCAGCTTTATAGTTTGCTATACTTATGGACACAATATGATTGCGCTTATATAATGGGAGCACACTAACTTGCAGTAAAATACTAAATATTTAAACCAAACTGTCTCTAACTCTCTCCTTTCTAAGTTACCATCTGACAATTAGTGTTATGACATTACTTTTCATTATTTGGAGAAAAGAGAGGCTTAGCAGAAGCAGTTTGGTTTAAATATTTAGTATTTTACTACAAGTTACGATATATAATGAGCACCATCATATTCTGTCACAATATACATTTCTGTAATAGTCATAATATTAGTTGTCCTTTCCTCTTTTTGTTTTAGTTTCTTAAAAATGTGGAGTATTCCCTATTTCGCCCAGAAAAGGATTATTTTAGTTTATTAGTAATATCAGAAAATGTTTAGTAAGCACTATTTAGATCAATATTATACAGCCCAGAAATGGAATCAGAACTGGAATAACTACGAACTTGGAATACAGAGATGCTTAACAGGAACAGTCACTGCTTAGTTTATATTACTTTTAACCCAGAAAAGGAATTAGATCAGGAAATGGAATTAGAATTACAAATGGAAATGGATACTTAGCAACTTGAACAGAAGCACTTAGTTTCCATACTTTAGAACAACATTAGATTAGTTTTCTTTCCTCTTTTTTTCCTTTTGGTTTGTTATTTTGTTTGCATTTCCTTTTAACTCATATAAAGCACTTTGAATTGCCTTGTTGCTGAAAATAAATAAATTTATAAATAAAATTACCTCACCTTACAAAATTTATTGTATTACAACTTATAACGTTCACCAAGAACGTTTATACAGGTGGTGCAGAGTATTATCTATATGCAATTCTTTCACTCTGTCAAAAGTAAGATAACGCTCAAATCTTCCGTTTTTGCTTTGAAGGTTTTCTAAAGACACAATGTGAGGAAGAAGTGGGAAATATTTTTAAAGAGAGACGGATTCACTGCAGCACGGATGAATCCGACATCGGACTCAATCTCAGCAGCTGAATCACTCCGAAGCTACAACTCATCAGCTGAGAATATGGAAAAAAGCACATAAATATATATATGTTTTTTTGATTAATTCTATCAATTAAAAAAATACTTAAAAAATTTAATTCTTAGTAAATGTAGCTTTGATAGCCGTTTGAATACAGTTCCTAGTAAAAAAAAATAAGAAAAAGACATTATGATCAATTAAATGCACTGATTCTTTATTGTGCCTGCCAAACATAACGCTGAGCAGGAGCGCTGCCAGGAATCTTGGGGCCCCCTGACGAAAAATTTGATTGGGCCCCCCACAATCAAATTTGCGGTAAAAGCTACTGTAATTGTAATAGTTACTGTTAATTTTTTTAGTCTATTTGATCCATAAAAAGCGTCACACTTTTAAAGGCTTGCATCTGCCTTGCTTTCTTTGGTTCAATACTGATACTAGCACAATATTTACTGCTCATGAATTTAACATCCAACGTACAACTACACATAAAGCAATCCAGACTTCTCAAAAATGCTATGTAGTTGCATTTTATTCAAGCTGCAGTACATAACTTGAATAAAAAATATGTTTTCTCCATATTTGTTAAAGCTGTCACCATGTCATAGCAGTTTGTTATGAGACAGATAATCTGTGAAAACAATCAATCTCCTCCATCTCCTTCCTGAATTACTGGTTAAAGTAATGCACCGTTCTGACCAAAACAACCAATCAGAACTAGTAGGATGCTCTTAGCGCTGTCAATTAGCCTCATTCACTCACTGCTAAATGTGCTAATGGGGGAGAAACAACTTATCATTACAAGAAACCGTTTATCTGCCATCATTGGTAGCCATGCTAACTAAACTGAGCATTCACAGTTTGAATCTGCACAGCTCTGTGCTATGCTAACTGCAGCACGGCACAAATCGAGGGGGAGGAATGATGAGCAGCAGCACATGAGATTGTGATTGAAAGCATTAAAACTCTCCTGCCACTGACTGGTTGTTTCTAGCACTGGGAGAAGGCAGAGGAAATAGATTTTTTTCACAGATTACCTCTCAGTATGGTTACTGTCACAACATAATGACAGTTTTAAAAAATATGTTGAAAAAAATATATAAAAGTTGCATAATGCAGCTTTAATTTCACTTAGGAGAGGACGGGTCAGGAGGGACGTGGGTTAGAGCTGCTGCTGACTGACTCACCTGTTAAGTGGTAAAAGGCACAGGGAACAAGTTAAATATATGAATATGTTGGTATTTTTTTTCCTTAATTCATTAAATGCTAGTGAAATGGAGGCAAACAGTAGTCTGTAGCTAAGCTAATTATGCTAAATGGTTGATAATCTCACACAGTCTACCCACCTCTCTTGGAGAAAAACTGGGTTATAAATTAACACTCTCACCTTTTTCTCTGTCTTTTTTTTAAAACCTGACTTTATAACTTTTCTTAGCAGCATAGTAACTGCAATATATATATATATATATATATATATATATAT